ACGGCAAGCGGTGCTATCTGGCCCTGTATAATCCGGAAAGCTCTATAAACCGGCATTTCTTTTGAGTGACAGAGGGCTGGCTGGCTCCATGCCCGCTGCTCCGGAGAGGGATGGCCATGGGGGAGGAGAGCTGGGCATGTGCTGCTCTTGCTCTGCCCTGAATGCTGGGTAACCGGCATCCCTTGTAGTCTCATGTTGGATAACAAAGCTTTTATTGCTTCGGGGGTAGCAGAGTTAGTCTGTACAGGATAAACATAAAAAACAACAAAGCTTATGATACCATCTACATGTTTTGTTAGTCTATAGTGTGCTACCAGACCATTTGTTTTTTTACGCTAAAGCTTTTATTATATTTCACCACTGGAGCAACGTTAATGGACTACTGCTTCTTCCTTCCTTGAGCCTTTTGTGTAGCAGTCTTTCCCAAAGAAATAAAAGTCCTATTTAGATTTCAGTGCTGGATGGTTAGTGCACATGTTTAAGACTTACCGCAACAGAAAGTTCTCACAGGCGTATGTTCGTTTGCAAGGGAACCCCTTAACAGACAAAGTTGCAGAGTGCCAAATAATCCATGTGGCTTTTGTCAATTAACTTAATCTCTTTCTTTTCTTAACCTGGTGCGTCCACATTACACGTTTATAGGCTCATAGATGTGTAGCTGGAAGGGATCTCAGTCATTTAGTCCCGCTCCTTGCCATGAGAATATACCTAGAGTGTCTCTGACTGGTATTTGTCTATCTTGTTCCTTTAAAAACTCCAATGATTGGATTCAACCTGGTTTTATTAAGTGTAATTTTTTTGCTGGTTGCATGTTCTTGTGCAGACAAGGCCTGTGCTAGAAAATTATTCAAATGTTATGTTACTAGCTTGAACCAATCCAGAGTCAAGTGGCTTAAAGAAATGTTGACTGGAATTGCATGCACTCTACAGACTCTTCATCTTGTGCTTGATTTATATAGAGGATATTTTTTCTCGCACCTAAATTCTTGTAGCCTTCCAAGATGCCCTTTTGTTTCTGGAGCTTTGGAGGCCAATTATATTACTGAATCTGTGTGTTTTTATAATGTGCTTAAACAGTCTTCCTCCTATTGATCTCTTCAGGCCACTAGCTACTTAAACCTCAAAAGAGATGAATTTCCCCACATCCCATAGCTTCAAGGTACTAAGAATTCAGAATAATGGGACACCAATTCAGTTATATACTGTCCTATTTTCCAGGGGCAGTCCATCTCTCTTGGCTACAGAGTGAGTTTGTTCTTAGTTGCCACAGTGGGCAGATGTCTTATGACCGCCTATGACCAAAACCACCAAGCCTAAAAATTGACTATTTCCTCTTGTGCTAGCAAACTGTGCTAGAGTTTCCATGCTCAGTGAAATCATAAGCATGCTCTTGAAAAGTGGATCCAGTAGGAGCTCTATATAAGGTATGGGTATTTTTTTTTTTTACCTTCATCCATATAGCTCTTTATTTTGGTTTTATTGTAGCTTAATCAAATTTTCCATTCTTGAGGAATTTATTAGTTTGCTTTTGCTTCCTCATTGAGGGTATATTGCTGTGCATACTGTTGGTGTCCTGATAGAGGGAGTGGAAAGTCAGGGTAGGGATGTGAATGACTTGTTGACTATTGGATAAGTAAATGTTTATCGATTAGTCAGCTAGTTGCTTCCTCTGCCCCCTTGCTGCCTCTATCCGAGGCAGGAAGGAGGGGGTGCTTTAAAGCGGCAGCGCTGTGTGGAGCCCGGGGCCAGATCCAGTGCTGCATGGAGTCCCCAGCTGGTGCTGGGCTGCATGTGGTGTTTCAAAGCGGCAGCACCACATGAAGCCTGCGGTTAGCTGGGGTCTCCCCCACTGACCCTGCGCTTCATGTGGCGCTGCCGCTTTGAAATGTCGTGGGGAGCACGGAGCCAGCGGGCAACTACTTGAGCCCCCTGCTGGCCCTGTGCTCCCCACAGAGCTTTCACCTCTGAAATGTAGTAACATCTCTAGGGCCAATGCTATACTTCAAAGGCGGAGGAGCACTTATTGACTAAATAGTCGATGTAATTTGCATCGACTATTTGATTAGCCTATTAATCTACATTTAACATCCCTAAGTCAGCTCCCAATATACTGTACAGCAGGGGTGGGCAATAATTTTTGGAGAGGGGCCACTTAATGAATTTTGGTGTATGGTCACAGACCAGCTTCACCTTTGGAAGAGGTGGGGCCTGGAGAAAAAGGGGTGGGGCAGGGCAGTAGACAACCCTGGGAGGAGGCTAATCTGGGCCAGAAGCTTTGAATTAAAAATACAGTGTAGGGCTCACGGCCACTGCTGCATTGTCTGGCAGCTGCGTGGGTTTGGTGCGGCTAGTTAAAAAGCCCATGGCTCTGGCCTCTGCCGGGGTAGTATCGAAACCAGGAGCTGGGAGCCATTTAAATAAAACAGGATCCTCCTGCCTGAGGTAGGGCCTGGAAATGGGCAGCCAGGATATAAACATAAAGTGACCAGATGCAGTCTGTGGGTCAGATCAAAGTTTTAGGTGGGTTGGATCTAGCCCCTGGGCCACATGTAGAGCAGACCTGAGCAACAGTATGAACTTCACATGAGTCTTGGGGTGGGGTTTAGGGATGTGAAATCCTGCTTAACTGGTTAAATGTTTTATTTAATTGGTTAATCAATTTGAGCAGCTTGTCCCCTTATCTCCCCCTGCCCCCCACTGGTTAACCTGAACCAGTAAGCCTCTCCTGTTAAGGAGGGATGCGTACCGGTTAACCATTTGCATCCCTAGAAGGGGTGGTGCTGCCCACCAGGTACCATGGTGGAGTATCAAAACTGGATGCTTGGGGGTAGCCTTGCATTGGAGCACAGAGCACTTAGGGTAGCAGAACTTTGATCTACATTGTGGTGACTGTGTCTTCATAACAGAAAGATGGGTTTTCTTTAAAGAAGAACCTGCAGGGCTAGTTTATTCTGAGGGCTTTCCCATAATAACTTCTTGTGCCCTGATATTTTTGTCACAAACTTTTAAAGCACTTTGTACATTTCAAAGGAAAATTTCCCTTGCATAACTTGTTACCAGTCTGGATGGGCAAAAATATAACAATTCAGGGCAGGGAGAGCTATGCTGTGCACTTTTTTTTTAAACTTCAGTGTTTCATCTTCAGGGTTGGGAAATGTTTTGTTTTTACAAAAAGGAGTGAAGCCTTCAGGCATTTGAGGAAACTTTGGAACAGCTAATTGACTGTGGTGAGAGCCAGGGGTTGGTGTCCGGGGGGGGGGAGGCCCTGTCAAGGTGGTTCTTGAATGCATGGAGAACAGTCCTTGGAATTGTGCTGATCAAACTGGAGGAAAAATCTTAGTGTCCACTCAGACCAAGTAGAAGTGCAGTTAGGTAAAGTGTCACTTTCCCTTCCTTCTGGGCAGGGTGACTAACATCAGGGGCAGGGGTGATGAGTTGCTAGTCTGAGTAAAGGATGTCTGAAAAGGCTGAGAGGAAGCACAATAAACAGCTGTGGTGGAAGATCAAACAGAGTGCTCCTGCCAGTAGAGTGGCATATGATGGAGAATAGTCAAAAGTGATGCTTTGGGAGCTGTGCACATAGCTGGGTATGTTGAGTGGTGGGGCTCATCTATTGATCTGATGCAAGGGAGAATGAGTAGAGGCTTTTTGACTAAGCTCCGGTAATCTGAAGGCAAGCAACAGTCTAATTTTTGCTCACAAATGCAGAATAGACGTGGTTGTGAAACAAAACTTGACATTTTTAGGAGCAAGGTGGATCTTGAACAATGAAGTCCTACAGTGCTGGACAGTTGAGTTACTAACCAAGCTTTCATTGTATATTTTAAATACACTTGTAGAAAACTACTTCCTTCAAACAGCATCAAGATACCTGGAAAACAATATAACTCTGTTGGCTTTTGGTGTTTTGACGGGAATCTGCAGTGTGCAGTATTACAGACTGGGCCAAGCATAGTGTTAAGTTTGACACTTAGACATAACACACTTCCCAAAATTCATGAGGTCAAATGTCAGCAGTGTGTAAACTTAGGAAACATGAAAGCTTTCACAGAGGAAGTCAAAATTCAAAGTCATTTTTTGTAAGGCTAGATGCTCCTATAGAGTGAAGAAGTCTGTCGCTATCTTCAGTATGCCAGGCCAGGACTAATTGCTGTATGTCAGTGTGTTGACTACATGGAAAAAGTTGCAAGAGGAGGATAGAATTAGATAGGCTAGAGCAGTGTTTCTCAACCAGTGGTTCGAGTACTCTTAAGGGTATTCGAGAGAAGTCTAGGAGTACGTCAACAGAACTGAAATTTGGAGAAAACTGAATTTTTTGTTAAGTTTTACAGCGCTTTATTTTATTTTTTTACTTTTTACACCCAAAAATGTCATCAACTGGCTACAATTAAGTTGTTTAAACAAATGTGGTGCAATGGTAGGAAAAAAATTGTCTGAAAACTTTAGATACAGGAAGTACTTATTTTTTGTTTTGAAAAAGGGATACTTTATGGGGTTGGGGGAAGGTTGAGAAACACTGGGCTAGAGTGGTGTTGGAAATGCTGCTGATGGACTGAGTACCGTGAGAGCCATCAAGGATACTTGATGTCCAAAATGACGACTTATACTCCTTATTAGAGATGTAAAATCCTGTCTAACTGGTGTAATGTAAATATTTAACTAGTTAATTGATCAAAGGGAGGGTGGGCAGGAGCAGCTCTTGAATCAAGCCTGCCATGGACAGGGGGTGCTCCAGCACCCCCCTGGTTAAATAGAACTGGTAAGCATCACCTGTTTAGTGATGCCTACCAGTTAACCATTCACATCTCTACTTATGCAACTCTGACACTAAGCATGGGAAAATGTTTTGTATAAATGAGACTTGATGGAGTGCATCTGTCATGCACCTGGGCGCTGTTTATCTAAGTGCTGTTTCTCTTTCAACAACACTACATATGTACATATACAGTCTTTGTTCTTAAAAGTTTTAAAACCAAACTGGTTGTTTCCATTCCCTTTAGAAAAAGAAGTCAAGAAAGACAATCAAGGAAAAGCTGCAGAATGGAGTTCAGTAAAACAAACTGACAAGTCAACCAGCCGTACAGGACAACATCCAAGTCAAAGTGCCTTGTCCAGTCGGAATGATCGAAGATCAGCCAAAAGTCCTCAAAGGACAGATGTGGCAAAGGAGCATAAACATCCATTTGCTTTATATGGCTGGGGAGAAAAACATACAGATACAGGGAGCCAGAAAACTCACAACGTCTGTGCTTCTGCCTCAGTGCATGAAGTAAGTAAATACTGGAATATTTTTTAAAGTCCCTCCCTTATAAAATTTACTCTTATTACTTGTTAATGTTCTAATGTTCTTTAACCTGCGTCCAGGACTACTTTGGGGCATTAATATCTTAGTTTTCCTACCATAGTCCTGCTATGTGATTTTTGCCACTCCATATTAGTCAGGAGGAATGACATTTTGGGAGTGGTGGACTGGGAGGCATTAGGTTTGAAACACTAAATTCTCTAGAGCAGCGTTTCCCAAACTATGGGCCTTGGCCTGGTACCGGGCCGCAGGAAAAAACTACCGGCCCTCAGTGTGGTTGCCGGGGTGTTCCATGCTCCCGGGGTGCCCGTGTGGCGCCGGGTCCCCCAAACCCTCTGCTGGCCTGGGCGGAATCTGCAGCTGGATGTTCCGGCTCCCGGCAGAGTCCTAGCTAGAGAAGGGCGGTGGGGGGAGGAGGAGGGGAGAGCCGGCCACTGGAAGCAGCACTGGACGGGGGAATCGGGGCAGGGCGGGCTGGAGAGATTGAGGGGCTGGTGGAAGCAAGGCTGCTGGGGGGCACGAGGTCGGGGGTAGGAGCTGGCTGGGGAAGATGCGGGAGGGGAGAAGCGGCCGCCGGAAGCAGGGCTGGATGCGGGCAGCGGGGCTGGCCAAGGAAGATTGGGCGGAGAAGCTGGGGAGAACTGGCTGTCCGGGAGGGGGTTGGGGGAAGCGGGGCTGGCCAGAGGCGTATGGGGAACTGACCCTGCCATATGTAGATCTCAGGGCGCTGCCCCCCTTCCCCCCCATCTCTCCTCCCCGCAAAGCACGAGTTAGTCCGGCCCAGGGATTCTGTTGTCGTCGTCCCCCCCCTCCCTCCACCCATCAGAACTGGCTGGCTGGTAGACACACTCATGCAGCCTGAGCACATTTACCAGCCACGCAGTTCGAAACTACAAACTGATACATCTAGTAATAATAAAACTTATATAACATGTCTGGTATTTTCTCATTAGGTGTCTGGTATTTTCTCAGTTTGCTTTTTATGTGTTTATATTTTTGGGCTGCAAAAAACAGTACTGGGGAAAAAAAGGGTTCCAACTAAAGTAAAAAGTTTGGGAACCCCTGCTCTAGAGCTCCAGGCCTGAATCCAATAGGACTCACTTGGCTTAACTTTTACAAGTTTGGGGGAAAACAGAGTTCCTGGCAGAGTTTCATTTAAATAGTAGTTGTCTTTTGCCCTATGCACGTAAAGCAAAGACTTAAACAGCCAAAAAAAAGTCACTTCCTGAAAATGTTGGGGGTGCCCACTTTGATAGACTGCAGGCCTGACTTTCAGGTTGTGCTAAGTACCCACCCTCAAACTTGGGTTAAAATAAATTTTAAATTAATGGAGATTGCCTATCTCCTAGAACTGGAAGGGACCTTGAAAGGTCGAGTCCAGTCCCCTGCCTTCACAGCAGGACTAAGTACCATCCCTGACAAATTTTTGCCCCAAATCCCTAATGGCCTTCGCAAGGGTTGAACTCACAACCCTGGGTTTAGCAGGCCAATGCTCAAACCACTGAGCTGGCCATCTAAAAACAGAAGCATCACTTTAGGAATTTCTTGCCCTGAAGATACCAGAATGGCTCTTCTAATAGATACCTTTCCTTTCATTGTGTCTCGCTCTGTCCCAGTGTATAAATGCATAGATTCCTTATACCCATTTCAATTCAGACCGCTGCTGAAATCTGTATCCATGGTGGTTCCTTTCAAGAATGTTAGAATTAAAAAACGCTTCAGGAAATTCAGTTAAGGTTGCACTCTTCAAATGAGAAACACATCCTAGCTTAATTCTACCCTGAAGAAAATCAGATTCAATCAAACCTTCATTTTAGTAATGACTAGGGATGTAAGTGACTAGTTGAGTCACTGCTTCACTAGTTGCTTCCCCACCCCTTGCACTGTATTAGGGGCAGCAAGTGGGAGGAGCAGAAGCCAGGGAGAGCCAGCTTAAAAGCTATTCTCCTCTCCTCCCCTCCCCCAGGGGGAGAGGGTGGAGAGGAGGCAGAGGTGCAAGCGGGGCACCTGGTGCAAGCTGGGACTGCTCAGTCCCAGCTCATGCTGGGTCCCAGATGCTATGCCTCTGCTTTTTAAAAGTAGTAAGAGCCACTAGGCTCTTACTACCTTTAAAAAGCAGAGGCTCGGCTAACCCCCTTATCAAGTAGTTGATGGAAATTCCATCAACTATTCAATTAGCTTACTAACTGCTATTTGACATCCCTAGTAATGAGTAATCCCGTGG